TTATATTCTCCTCAGTGTCTAGCAGAAGCCCAGTAATTCATGTAGGATGTACATATACTTTTTGCAATGACTATTTTTATCCTTCTCAGCAAAGAGTTAATTTCAAGTCCTTGTTTCCCTACAAATATAACTCTAAAATTGAATTATACTCTATCTTTTGCTGGGCTGGGGATGTGGCTCAAGCAGTAACGTGCTCGCCTGGCATGCGTGCGGCCCAGGTTCGACCCTCAGCACCACATGCAAACAAAGATGTTATGTCCGCCGAAAACTAAAAAATAATGATGATAATAATAAATATTAAAATTCTCTCTCTCCCCCCCTTTAAAAAAATTTAATCTTTTGCTAAATCCAAAGAACTTAAGCCATTCTTCACAGAAGGCCATCTTTATTATTATGTGTAGATTTTAACTGATGTTTTGTTAATTTAACCCACAGATCTCTATCTATAAAATGAATATAATACCTTCTTGAATGATTGGTTTTTAAGGATCAGAATTTCATGAGGTGGCATGTGTGAAATTTTTACTTTGAGGTGGCTTTTTTAAAAAACAGAATTCCAGATAAATCTGACCTCTGTTTACTTGTTAATTGTTCTCCAGGTAAAAATCAATAGCCTGGGTAAATATCAATGGGCTATAAAATTTTGTTTTCATTGTTTATAAAATATCTTCCTAGGGACTGAGTTTGAGGTTTGCAAAAATTTAGCAATCTCATATTCAGATCTCGTGCTAGTTAGTTAAACGCTCATAGGATATATTTTTAAACAAAGAACCTTATGAAGTAATTTTAAGCTAGAGTTCTTAAGTGAGTGTAGTTTCTAAAGTTTGTCCAGTTTATGTGAGAGATGTGTTCTATTTGTGGCTGTACTGTCTGTCTAGTGTGAGATTCTACCAAGTTGCTAAAGGTCCCAAACGGGTGCTGCTGTGGTTAACTTAATCCCCAATACTACAGTATTAAAAGTTGTGGACCTTAGGAGGTGATTGAGCCATCATGGCCCTACCCTCATGGGATCGGCACTGTTATAAAGGAGTTCAAGGTTGAAGGGAGCATTCTCTCATCCCTCTGCCTTGTGAAGAGATGAGACAAAGCCTTCACCAGACACTAAATGCCAGCATCTTAATCTTGGACTTCTCAGCCTTCAGAACTGTCAGAAATAAATCCTTACTGTTATAAATTACCCAGTGTATAATATTTTATTATAGTATTATAAGTGGACTAAGACAGATGGTTACTCCAATTATGTTATCCTAATACACAAGCTTAATTACATTATTTGATTATAAAAACTGCCTTTGCTCAAGCTCCATCATCTGATTCTGTGTTCTGAGTTTAATTTCTTACTATGTTACCTGGATCATCTTTCTATGCTACAGGTGGTAGATAGAATGTTAACCTCTCAATCTTATCTATTCTAATCCCTGCAACCTGGGAATGTGTTATCATACATGGAAGAGAGCAGTTAAGATTCCTAATTGGTTAACTTTAAAATAAGAATATTTTCATGAATGAAAGGGTTGACCCAGTATAGTCATAAGGATTCTTAAAAATTGGTGTGGAATGCAGAGGACAAGTTCAGCTATAGGATACAAGAAGAATACACTGTTCTTGGTTTTAAAGAGAGAGGAAGAAAGGAATATATGTGGCTTCTAGAAGTTGGAAAGGAATGGAAACAAATTCTTCCTGAGGAAAAGTAATGCAGACCTACCAAAACCTTGATTTTAGCCCCTTGAAACCCATTATGTTTCTGAACTAGAAAACTACAAGATCATAAGTTTGTGTGTTTTAAACCACTACATTGGGCTGAGAATATTGATAAGTAATAAATCCTTGCCTAGAATGCGTGAGTCCCTGGGTTTGATAACTAGTACAGCAAAACCAAACAAAAACCAGTAAGTTTGTAGCAATTTATTAATAAAGCCATAGAAAACATTCCATAACTTTGATAAAAATTATAATTTGGCATCATTTTCAATTTCTTTGCAATTCTATAGTACTAAAGTGTGAGCAATTACCATCCAGCTATTAGGCTTAGGGTGGTAGACTACATACAGCAGATCTGGCCATAGTCTGCCATGCAATGTCTTTATTTTTACATTCCCAACCCCTAATACAATGACTGCCAAAGCAGAGAGCATAGTAACAGTTTGTGGGGTAAATAAATATATGTTCTAATTAGAGTTAAAATCAGGATTATTGTTAGGTATGCATTATTGATTTATGTTCAATAATGTTCAATTTATGTTCTTTTGTGTGGTAAAAGTAAGTTGTTAAAGTGAATATAGTTTCTAAAGTTGACTAAAGAAATAGGTTAAGATGGGTTTTCAAACTTAAGTGTCCATTGGAATCACTTGGTGGGTCTGGTAAAACACAGATTTCAAACCCTCAGGCTTACATTTTTTAATTCAGTACCTTTGGGTGGAGCCTGAAAATTTGCAGGCTGATATTGCTATTCTGGTGCTCACTCTTATGACATTTCATTCCTCAGCCCCTCTTGGATGCACTCTGGGCAAGCTAGCTGCACATGTTCCCTGAGAATTCGGCCTGTTTTTCTCTTCTGTAGCCATCCAATCTGTCCATGGAGGTTATAGTCTACAGGCTTGCCTAGTACAATTACTAGTTTCCCTGAGGTTTGTTCCTCCTTCCCAACCCCTAGCCTTCCTGCCTCAGAAAATAAACATTCATTTAGTTCTTTTCATTTGAATAGAGAATAATAAAGCTAAACTTTAAAACAATCTAAAATTGAAATGGAGACATTAAAAAAGTTAACAAATTCTTTAAATCCTATTATTGAAAAGAATCTGAGATTTTGATTCCCTACTGAGATGACTATCCTCCTGGAGGGTTTACCTGGCATCTTAGATTATATAAGACTTTCTATCAATCACTCCACAACACACTACTTCCACGCAAGTGAAGTACAACCCTTTGCTTCTATTACCCAGAGATGGTGGGATCTGTCAGGTATTCTGATCCCTTTCAAAGCTACTGGCAAGGCTGAAGAATGTTTGCTTTTAAGGGGTAAATTGAAGCTCTGAAGATGTCCTGATTGGGTGACACTCATTCAGCTAAGTCACCCACCATGCCCTCCTAATTCACCAAATAAATAAATTTAAGAATTTCTTAAAATAATTTCTCTCTTTTTTTCTGTATGTGATTATCTTCTTATTTGGCTGTGTTCCTATCAGTCAGTTGAACAATTGTTTTTTGTTTTTGTTTTTTTCTCCCTGGAAACTTGTAGGATCTTTTCTTTGTTGCCATTGTTCTGAAATTTTATGATCATATACTTCAATGTGATTGTATTTTTATTCATTCTATTTGGCATTTAGTGGGCTTTTTAAATTTGAAGTTTTTAAAATTATTATTTAGGGTTTTTAAAATTAAAGGCAGTAAATGGACTGGGCTTGTGGCTCAGTGGTAGAGTGCTTGCCTAGCATGTGTGAGGTACTGGGTTCAATTCTCAGTACCACATGTAAAAACAAATAAATGAAATAAAGGTCCATCAACAACTAAAAAAAAATTTTTTAAAGGTAGTAAATGTACATGTGAAAAAAAAATTAACCAATATATGAGCATATATAAAGAAAGTAAATTTACCTTTTCACCAATCCCCTTTCCATATACAATAGCCCATTCTCTTTAGTTCTTTATGATGGTGATTATTAAAAGCACCTCTTTAGAAATCAAGAATATCATAATATATAATCATGGTAATGTACATACATATTTTAAAAATAGGCACTGGGGTTCTGGCTCTGGTAAAACACTTGCCTAAAGTGCTTGCTTTACCAGAGCCAGAACCGCAGTCCCTATTTTTAAAATATGTATGTACTTGCCTAGCATACGTGAGGCACTGGGTTCGATCCCCAGCACCACATAAAAATAAATAAATAAAAGTATCATGTCCATAGACAACTAAAAAAATATTTTTTAAAAAATAATGCTGAGTTTTGCCACTACTTTATCATTGCCTCTCTGCTTATGTAATTTTGGAAAAGTATTATATAGTAATATAACCAAACTTCTGGGAAATTTCTAAATACGAAAGTACTTACTTGATACTTATATTTATGTTCATGTCTTTTATTATTTTGAGACAGTCTCACTAAGTTGATTAGGGCTGAAGCTAAGTTTCTAAGGCTAGCTTTGAACTTGTAATCTTCTTGCCTCAGCCTCCCAAAGTCATTGGTATAAAAGGTGTGCATTACTATACCTGGATTTTTTTTAATTCACAAAAAGTGTACATGTATTTTAATTGTTTTTTATTAATGAATAACTGATAAACTCAGTGTGAGAGAAACACACTTAGTAATATTCAACAAATATTTATTGAATGCCTACTGGGCTAAAGCAATATCAGTGAGATTAATAATTCTCAAGTTTTCCTTTGGATTGTCTTATGCTTAACATTAATGAATTCTGGGACTACTTCATTTTTTTTTTCACATTGTTAAAAATAAGTACTTTAATTCACTTCATTCTAGATTGTTCTTTGCAAAACAAAAGAATCCCAAACAATCAAAAAACCCACAAAGTCATTTCTTTTAAATGTATATTGGTTTTTTTTTTTTTAAACACCATATGATGACAGTGTTAAAATAGTCTCTGGAATTTAGTGAAGTGGTTGATGATGTGTGAATATGTGATCAGACATATATGTTAGGAAAATATGTATTGCAAATAACGTATTATATTTTAAGATTTTAACTGATAAAATATCTAAGAGTTTGACTACGGAATTTGTTGGATTTTAAGTGATTAAGAATAATTAGCTTTATTGTATTCTAAACTGAAGCTAGGTATATTTTTATGTATTTTATGTACTTTTATGTATTTTAACTAGTATGTTCTTGATGGAGATTTGAGTTAATGGGAATGAAGCATGTGACTAAATGCACTCTAATAATATCTAGAAGTCATGCATACTATTTTTATATATTATTAAGATTTTTGAAAATGACTGTAATATAAATATTGGTTTTATATGCCTTTTCTTTTGCCAGATGATGGGCCTAGTCAAGACTCTGTTACTGAGACTGCCATGACATTGCCAAGTGAATCCAGAGTGAATATGCATGCTATCGTCGCATTAAAAATATTAGACTATAGGTATGTAATTCATTTCTTCCCCTTTTCTAATTTTTTTTAATTCATGCATTATAACTGTATATAACAGAGGGATTCCTTGTTGCATATTCATACATGCACATAATATATCAGAATTATTTGGCCAGGGTCGCTCCTCAACACTTCTCCCTTCCTCCCTCACTCCCTCCCCACCTCCTTTCCTTTACTGATCTCCCTTTGATTTTCATGAAATTCCCACCCTCTTTTTCTTTTCCTTTGTCCTCTCTAGCTTTTATATACAAGAGAAAACATGACCCTTGACCAGCTGAGTTTGGCTTATTTCACTTAACATAATGGTCTCTAGTTCCATATATTTTCCTACAAATGACATAACTTTTATTTTTCTTTATGGCTGAAAAAAATTCCATTGTGTAAATAAACCACATCTTCTTTATCCATTCATTCATTGATGGACACCTAGGCTTTTTCCATAATTTGGCTATTATGAATTGTGCTGTTATAAACATGGGCATTCATGTGTCACAATAGTACTTTAATTCTTTAAGATAAAAATCAAGGAGTGGTATAGCTGAATCTTATGATGCTTCCATGCCTAGTCTTTTAAGGAGCTTCCATACTGATTTCCATAGTAGTTGCATTAATTTACAATGCCACAAACAGTGTAGAAATGTCGCTTTTTCTTCACATTCTGTCTAGTATTTATTTGTATTCTTTTTAAAAAATATTTTTTTAGTTGTATATGGACACAATATCTTTGTTTATTTTTATGTGGTGCCTCCCAGTGCCTCCCAGTGCAAGGCAAGCTCTCTACCACTGAGCTGCAGCCCCAGCCCCTATTATTTGTATTCTTGATGACTACCATTCTGGCTGTTGTGAGATGAAATCTCACTATAGTTTTGATTTGCATTTCCCTAATTGCTAATGACGTTAGACATTTTTTCCATCTCTCTGTTGGCCATTTGTATGCGTATTTAATTAATTTGCCTATTTATTAATTGGGTTATTTGATTTTGGTGTTAAGTTTTTTGAGTTCTCTATATATTCTAGATATTAATTCCTTGTCAGAAGAGTAGCTAACAGGTGCAGTGGCGCACACCTGTAATCTCAGTGGCTGGGGAGGCTGAAGCAGGAGGATTGTAGGTTCAAAGCCAGCCTCAACAAATTCGAGGCACTAAGCAGCTCAGTAAGACCCTGTCTGTAAATACAAAATAGGGGAGGGGATGTGGCTCAGTGGTCAAGTGCCCCCAAGTTCAATCTCTACTACCGAAACAACAACAATAGAAGTAGTAGCAAAGATTTTCTCCTATTCTGTAAGTTCCCTCTTCATATTCCTAATATTCTTCTTTGTTGTTCAGAAGCTTTTTAATTTGGTGCCATCACATTTATTAACTCTTGGCATTATTTCCTGAGCTTTAGAGGTCCTATTAAGAAAGTCGTTACTTGTGCCTATGTGCTGTAGTGTTGACCCTACATTTTCTTCTAGGAGTTGCATAGTTTCTGGTTTAATTCCTAGCTCTTTGATTCATTTTGAGTTTATCTTTGTGCAGGATGAGAAATAAGGGTATAGTTTCATTCTTCTACGTGTGAAAAACCAGTTTTCCCAGCACCATTTGTTAAAAAGGCTGTCTTTTCTCCAATATATGTTTTTGGCACCTTTGTCAAGGATCAGATGTTTGCAGACATGTGAGTTTGTCTCTGTATATTCTATTCTGTATCACTGGTCTATGTGTCTTGTTTTTATGCCAGTTCCATGAAGTTTTTATTATTATGACTCTCTAATATAATTTGAAGTCAGATGTTGTGATGCTTACAGCATTGCTTTTTTGGCTTAAAATTGCTTTGGTTGGTGTTTTATTCTTCCAAATGAATTTTAGGACTTTTTTCTAGTTTTGTGAAGAATGTTTTTGATATTTCGATGGGGATTGCATTGAATCTATATACATCTTTTGGTAATATGTACATTTTAAGAACATTAATTCTGCCAGTCATGAACATGGGAGGTCTTTCCATCTTCTGGGGTCTTTTTCAATTTCTTTCTTCAGTGTTCTATAGTTTCCATTGTAGAGCTCTTTTGCCTTCTTGGTTAGATTTATTTCTAGATGTTTTCTTTCTTTCTTTATTATTTTGAGGCTATTATGAGTGAATTGTTTTTCTGATTTCTTTCTCGGCAGATTCATTGTTGGTATTATAGGAAAGCTATTGATTTTGGTATATTTACTTTGTAATATGCTACTTTACCAAATTTGTTTAAAAGACATTACAAAACACATAGAAATCTTTCAAGAAAGAATCTTCAGAAAAGGAACAATTGGTGAATAAAAATTAATCAGAGTACCCAGAATAATAGCAATTGCAAAAAGAGTGATGAAATAAATGCACATTGAAAGTATAATGAACTTAACTGCCCATCCTTTAAGTGATTTGTGTTTATTATACTTAAGCTGTATTAATAATATTTTAATATTGAATATAAAATAATTAAGATATAATTATAAAAATAATATTAAATGTAAAATGATATAAAAGAGACTTATTATTGGTAATAAAGTGCTTTGAATCAGTATCAGAGAGTATTGATCCAGAGGTTATCGGAGGGTAAATCTGTGTTAGTTAAATAAGAGATACTTTTCATTTAGTTAATGAAGAACCTGAAAAACAGGCAAAGCTTGAGAGGCTAATTTAACCAAATATTAGTTAATAACATGACATAGTTACAAGGTGCTCTTATAGCAGATATATTAAAACTGAAGCCATTACAATGTTAGTATATAAATTGAGTTTAAAAACCTAAAAATTTAATGGAAGTATATTAATTTGGGGAAAGATGATACCTTATAAAAATAAGAGATACAGTCAAGAGTTTCTGGTGATTGGTTCAGGTATGGGTACTGCAAGGAAAACAAAGAATACAGACTCAAGTCAGATAGGTGACTAGATTTATTCAAGAATCAACACAACTGAGCTGGGCACAGTGGCTCATGCAGGTAATCCCAGCGGCTCAAGGGGCTGAGGCAGGAGGATTGCCAAGTTCAAAGCCAGCTTCAGCGAAAGTGAGGCTCCGATCAACTCAGTGAGACCCTGTCTCTAAATAAAAAATACAAAATAGGGCTGGGGATGTGACTCAGTGGTTGAGTGCCTCTTACTTAATCCCCAGTACCATAAAAAAAAAAAAAAAAAAAAAAAATCAATACAACCATCATCAGCGTCTGGCCACTTATCCTTAACATGTCAGTAAAAGCATGTTCTCGGTATTCGGGATACAGTCTCCATTTCCCATTGTTTTTCGTTCACATTGTTCTCATGTCTTGTTTGCCACTCTTTGATGTATGTAGAAATTAACTGCTCTAAGCCAAGTTTCTTTTGTCACACTAACATAGGCAGTATTCCTCTATATCTACATTTGTATTCCTTTTATATAGCATTGTACCTTAGCATATCTTCCACATAATGTAATCTGTTCAGTACATGTTCTTGAAATCTATTAAGTACCAAATTCTATGCTGGGTACTTTATGATTTATAAGGTAGTATTTAGGATAAGTAGGATAACCTTTTCTACTTTTTAAGGGCATAGATACTACAAAAGCATGAAAAAAAGGGTATGTCTTAGGTTGCTTGGATTATAACTTTTTATTGTAACTTGTTTTTCTCAATACTTTAATTTGAATCAAGTATTCTTTTTAAAATATAAAATAATGGGGGGCTGGAGTTGTGGCTCTATGGTAGAGCACTTGCCTGGCATGTGTGAGGCCCCGGGTTTGATCCTCAGCACTGCAAATAAGTAAATAAATAAATAAAGTGAAAGATCCATTGACAACTAAAAAATATCCAAGCAAGTGTAAATGCATTCAACTAAATTCTAAAAATAGTCTGACTCTTTCAACTTTGATTGGCATAAATCATTTATCTATGATTCGAGCATTTATAATTAAAAAGATGAAAATGCTATATCTGTACAACAGAAAATGGAGCACTAAAGCAGAAGTGGGAGGCATAATAACTGGAATTTTGTCCTTTTTTCCTATCTGTATTATGATGGCTTTCTTACTCAGTTCCATGTAATACGTTCTCTTGTCCTTATAGTCCTTATAGTCAGTCATTTGTCATTCCATGTAAGTTTCCTTGAAGTGAATGACATTGTGTTAAGCATTAATAGTGGTTAAAAAAATAATAATAATATCTAGCTCTTCAGATTCTGATTTTAAAGTACTAAGCTTCAGGGAAGGTAAATTGCAAACTCATTAATGGTAGAACCAGGAATAGTTTGTCTCAGTCCAGTATTCTGTCTACCTAGTCACATACCAGGAGAGAGAAATTTGTCTAGGTGATTGACCTGAAACTAATTTAGTATAATGTTGAACTTTTAAAAGTGATATTTTGTCATACCCAAAGAAAGTTGGCAGATAACCCCCTCTTACACATTTTTTAAGAAAAGGGGCAACAACTAACTTTTAAAATTATGGATTTCTTAGTCAGAGGTAAACATGTCCATTTGCTATATGATTTCTAGTTTTCCTAGACTCTGAAAGTATTTTTCTGTTTTTGTTCATATTTTAGTATGCAAGTGTGCAGAAAGCGTGGCACAATGTGTTGTAACACAGTTCACTGTCTCAATTCTGAACAGTGAGCTGGTAAATTTTTGTGCCATTCTTAACAAAACTTCATAATCACTACCTTGGAAATTTTTTTTTGCCAGGGGTGGGGGGGTACTAGGGATTGAACTCAGGGGATTTCGACCACTGAGTCATATCCCCAGCCTTATTTTTTGTATTTTATTTAGAGATAGGGTCTCATTGAGTTGCTTTAATGCCACTGTTGCTGAGGCTGGCTTTGAACTTGCAGTCCTCCTGCCTAAGCCTCCTGAGCCACTAGGATTATAGGTGTGTGCCGCCACACCCAGCTTACCTTGGAAATTTTTATAAAATATTTGAAAACCTTTAAAAATGAAGAATAACAATTATATATTTCTGACTTGCTAAGAATATTTCATTTTTATACCATTTTTCATTTAGTGATAAGCAAGCACCTTTCATTCCTGATGAAGTGTTTGATGCAGTAAAAAACAACATCATCACTTCTGTTAACTTCAGTAAGAATCAACTATGTGAAATTCCAAAAAGGTAAGAACTATTCATGATGCAGTTTCTATTAAGTCATGACTCATATATTAGAGGAAAATTGCAAAACGTCTATGATAATTTTAGGGAGGTAAGAGGATTCTTAAAACTTTCTCTTTCCTTTACATTGTAAACTTGGAAAGTAGGTATTAAAGTTATTAAAATATTAAATTAATTTTCCTATATAATGAAATATTAAAGGAAAATTGTTAAGAGACCACAGAATGCCAGGTTTGTGTGGATTTATAAAAATTTCATTTTGGACCTTAATGAATTGCCAAGCCACTGAAATTTCCTAGTGATTAAAAAAAGCAAAATTGAACCTTGTTAATAATTTCTTCTCTGAAAGAGTTCTTCACTTACAATTATTAGAACTCAGTTGCCTTATAGTTTGTACTATTTAGTACATCTTGGGTTATGAAAGGAAATTAGTATATTGTTGAATTTTTTAAAATGTTTGTTACCTAGCAGGAAACTATATACCCAGACAAACTTGACAAATAATCTAGTGATTAATACAACTGTGAGACTGAATATAGTAATAAGGAACTTGAGCAACAGAGTCAGTTGCTTATTCTGTATCCTAGATCTTCTAAGTGTGGTTTCGATCAAGTCACATAGCTGCTCTTAGTTTTCTCACCTATGAAGTAGGAATAATAATAATATCTGTTTATAAGAATTAAATTAAAGAACAAAATCCAGATATCATGTTTAACCTGGCCTAGAAAGCACTTACATATTAAAAGGGAAAAAAAATGATGAGGACAATATATTGAGAAAATAGAATGGCTTTCGTCTGACTGTCCCCAAATTTTTTCATGTTTGAAATTTTTAAAAAGGTAGTCAAAGCATAAAATTCATTCTGTTTACAATACATAGTTCAAGAAATATAGGTCCTCAAGGATGACAACTTTAAGAACATTCCTTGCAAAGGGAGATCTGGCTCATCTTCTGGTTTTTCCTTGTTTAAAGGCCCGAGAGGATATTTGATAGGATAGTTGAACATTTAGATTTGTTTGCAGATAGGATAAGTTTGTTTTGGGGGGACTAGGATCAAACAAGTAAATTGGGAATAAAGATAAATTTAAGATATTAACTTATTACTTTCTCATTTTATTCCACAAATCTGGTTCTTGTGCAAAACATGTTATTGTGTTCCCACAGTTATTGTGCCACTTTTTTTTAGCAACTTAGAAAGTCAAAGAAGAAAGATAATAAAAACATACTTTGTTTTAGAGAATTTCTAAACCAATTCCTCTCTTTCTTACATTTTTAATTTATAATTCATACATTTTTACCATATTTTCTGACTATAAAAACAATTTATATTCATAAGATTTTTGGACCAAATGAAGGGACCTATCAGTTATAGTCCTATCACTGATATGTTCTGTTGACTTAAAGATACTTTATTTCATGCAGTTCCCATCTGTAATTATACATACATATTTGTTTACCTATGTTGTAAACAACCCTTTAAAAATCTAATTTACTTATATAGCATATGGTTAATTACAGCGAGAAATCATTTTTTCTTTAGGCCAAATTTCCAGAAAAAATACCAAGTCAAAGAATTTGACTTATAATGTGTATATCTAATAACTTTTTTGAAAATGTTTTGTCAGTTATACATCAAAACTCTTATATTCCATCATCTGCATAGCATTTCACATTTATTCTTCTTCTTTGCTAATGTGATAGACTAAAAATGTTTTGTTACAGTTTAACTTTTGTTTCTTAGCGATCATGGTGTAATTAAAACTATTAAGCTTGCTTATACTTACTTAGAAATGATTAATATTTCCTCTTTAAGTCTTTAACCTAAGCTGCTTAGTGGTGTCACTTGCCAAACCTACAAATTCATTTCATTTTCTTATAATCGTCATTAAATTAATGACAATTTAGATAATGGATACTATAAAAAAGTTAATATCATATTTTTAAAATATTTTGAGGTAGACTGAGAAAATAGCCCAGTAGTAGAGAAGTCACTCAGCGTGTAAGAGACCTTGAATTTAACTCCAAGAACCTCAAAAAATAAAATATATATGTTCAACAATTTATTTCATGGATTCAGGTCATTAACAGAATAAGTATAAAAATTTCCTAGACCTGCTTTTTCCCATTTGTACCACACTTCTTTTAAATGCTGAAGTGAGTATATTTTAAAATTAAACTTCAACATAGACTTAGGATCAAATAGAAATCTTAGACAAAGGATAGTAATAGCTATCTAATTTTTAAAATTTTTATTAGCTACATAACTAATTTTTTGTGAAAAAATAAAACATAGAAAGTCATAATTAGAAATAATATAGGATTTTTTTCTGTTATGTTCTGCTTTGTTTTGAAGTTCTAAGAGTGAATTCAATGCTAACATTTTTTAACAACTATTTTTGTTTCAGGATTATAGAACTGAAGGAAATGGTTTCTGATGTCAATCTCAGTTTTAATAAGCTTTCCTTTATATCCTTGGAGTTATGTATGCTTCAGAAATTGACGTTTTTAGATCTAAGGTATTTATTGCTATTGTTGTTTGACTTTTTCAAAATTATAACTTGTCTCTAAGTTTTGCCTAACTTGCCTTTTATGTCATGTTTTCATAGGTAAGTATGGAAACTGGTCTTTATTAACAATACTCTAATGGAAATCTAAAATTAAGTATTAAAGAAACATTTTAATCAGTTAGCATTCGTAAGCACTTTATAAGTTGTGATAAGACAAAATTATTTAAAATGTTAAAAATAATAGCACATTCTTTAGATTCCTACCTAAGCAAAATTACAAATAACACAAAATATTTGTAATATGGAAAATATTTCCTTTGTATTGTTTATTTCCTGCAAGTAGATAGCATAAAATTGGCACAACCCTGTGCTGGCACAGCAGTTTGCAAAGCTTCTCTTTAAGGAAACTACTTGGTTTCACAATAGTTTGTTAAATACACAAGGCCATAAAAAAAAAGAAAAGAAAAAGAAAACACCTGACAACAAAAAGAAACTGCTTTAGGCTTTATGGAAGTAATAGGACGTTTAAGTGTGTCCAACTTGAAGTGATGGAGATTAAAAGTATGACAGTTCTTTAAGGATACCATTAGATGTCTCAAGAGTTAGTTACTTACTTAGAATCTAATTTTTTTTTCTTTTTTTTTTGGTAAACTATATATTTTTGCTTGGACTTTTCCATGCCTTTATATTATTCCTAGATGTGCCATCATTTATTTAAAGACTAACTGTTCCTGCTTTGCTCAGTTTTCAAATAACAAGTTATATCTTTTTTAGGCTTTGTTCTTGTACAGATGTATTTTTACTTACGTAATTCAAGTAAATGTACTAACATTCTGTTCCAATTAGATGTGGAACTGCTTCTATATGGGGATTGCAATTATAATAGGAAAACTATAAAAATCATATTTTAGTTCAGTAATAATGCAGCTGAGGAAATGAATCCATCTCTCCATTGCTGCTATCTGTCTATTTTTGGCTCAATCTTCTGTTTGTATAAATGGGCCTGTCTGTATCTGTACCTGGAATTTCTAATTAAGCGACCAAATTTGACTTTCATATCTGATAGCAATAACTATAACATTGTCTAGGAAAAGAATAGTAATCAGCGATGGGTTATTCAACACAACTTAATATAGATAATAGTTGGAGAAAGATATAAAGAAAAAAAGGACATATGTTGTACCACAGAAAGTAAGATTCTTATGACACATTTGGCTTGACTTTTTATTAGTTTCTTTTAGTTATATATAATATTAGGGGTTCATTTTAACATAATTATACATTTATAGAATATAAAGTCTTCACTATTAAACCTAAAGAAGTAGGTTAGAGAAAATTACTTGGTTTTAATAGGCACCTAGTTGGGAAATATTCTCTAACAAATGTTTTCTATTAGTAGTTATTCTGTCTCTGCCTTCTTATTAATCTTCTAGCATTGTTCTCAGATCCTTCTAATAATGAATAAGATTCTGTTTATTGCCATGTTTCATTATAACACCTAAAAATCAATATATTCACTGTACAAATTGAAATTTTATACTTAGAATAGAAATGAACTTGCTTAATACCTCGAGTAGAAAGATCCAGGTTTCCAAACCTATAAAATCTCTTTAACATGTTTTATTTTTTCTTGTAATGTTTCAGTTCTTCTTGGAGTAAAATGTCATGTCTGTTTACAAGATATACATATTAACACTGAGAGAATATTTGTTTTGTGCGGAATTATAAACATGACTAGACCATGACAAGTATTGCTGAACACAATTTGATAGAGTTAAGAGATTAGTTTACAATGTTTATCTTGTTGAGTATTATTAAAAAGTTGTTTTCATTATCATTAGGTTGCATATTGGTGTTATTTAGATTGGATACACTAACCAAATGCTTGACCCAGTTGACTCAGAATTCTCAGAATTCAGCATTAATGAGATCAGATTAGGACTGACAAACTGATATGTGTACTGTTTTCTGCTCAAAATTTTAATTATAAATTAAACTCATAAAAATTTTTATTTTAATCTATTTTGATTTCTAATTTAGGAACAATTTTTTAAGTTCTTTGCCTGAAGAAATGAAATTGTTGATAAGACTACAAACGATCAATCTTTCCTTTAATAGGTAAGAGAACAGATAATTCTAACAGCCATTCTATGGAAAATATATTGATCTTTCTTACTAGAGAAAACAATTTAAAAATGAAATAACAAAAAGAACCCATATTTTTACTTTATTTCAATATCCAGGTTTTATTTCATTTTGTTTTATTTAGAATTGAGAGCAATGTTGCTTTCTTAGAATTCTCACAATTGATGTCTAGCAGATTTTTTGTTCCATTTTACAATTTGTAGAAACCTGTAGCTTAGTAGAAAGACAAATATACAAATAAATAATTGTAATAAATAATTTATGGTGAATAATCGTAATTGCTATAATGGAAACATAGTGCATAGGAAAAGGTCCACTGAGATTAACTGAAGGTAGAGGAGGTAGCATTGAAACCGAGGCTTAAATAGACATTTGCTAGGCACTTGGGGAGAAGATCCTAGTTAAAGCAAATAGCATGTGCTAGGCCCAAACATATATAAACATGGTATGTTTGAGAAACTTCAAAAAATTCAATATGCCTTGCTCTATAAATTGAGGAGCTAGTGGTATAGCACAGACAGACAAGGTTGGGCATTTGAACAATAACTAGCCCCGTAAGAGCTTTTTAAGCTAAGTGAAACAGATTGTTTTTCTACAAATACTATCATGATTCTGCAGATAATTCGGAATAACTAATATTTATTAGGAGCAATTTATCTGCTGGTGCTGTGCTAAATACATGAATTAACCCTCTGTACAAAAATCCTATGTTGTAGATTCTGTTAGTATTTGTATTTAAAAAAGCAAAGATTCAAAGTTAAAAAACTTACTTAAGGTGTACAAAAAAGTAAGTTATAAAGCTGGGATTTGAGTCTGGGTGGTTTTGCTCCAAAAGTGGGGCTGTTAGCACCTGTGGCATGTTGTTTAATATGATAAAAATTGATTCTAACCGCAATTTAATAAAACTACTAAAAGCTAATATTTATTGTAACCCAGATAATCTAAGGTTTTCAAATATATTTATTTCATCCTTAGAACAAATTTACATATTTTAGTACTATTATTTTTCCTTATGTATAGATGAAGAAGCTAATGCATAGTAATGTTAAAATATATACTTATTTTAATTTTTATTCCTTCACTATTTGTGTTTTGTCACATATAGTGTATACCATTATTGTCATTATTTAAAAATATATGCACAGCTCAGATCTCTCCTAATTTTTACTTATAGATTGAGCTATCAGGTATCTGTTGAGCTGTCTCTTGAGCTCTCAGTTGAATTGTAGTCTTGGTTATTGACTCTTAGTGATAGTGGGACTTCAGAGTTGTCTTGAGTTTCCCCATCACTATCACTTCTTTGTATCCAAACAACGAAGGAAGGAGGGAAGGACAGTATGGTGAAATGAAAAAGCCACAGATAAAAAGTTCTCTATTAGCCCTTCCTTTTCTTAGCTAGTTCAGGTTACAGTTTACCTCATACTGAAAATGGGACTGCCTGTATCCCTAAAGGGGACCTCCATGATTTTGTTAATTGTGAGTAATTACTCTGAGAACTATTAGCCTTTCTGTTTTTGTGGCATTCTCAGGATTGGCATGGATAAGGATGTCAGTATCTATGCTAATTTGTCATCTTTTTAAAGAATCTGTAATGTACTCATTGTGGAAGCTTCAGTCAAAGCAAAATATAAATCTCAAATTTTTCATAATATATTGGCAGCAACTCATAAGTTAATATGAACTAAGGACGAATACCTGCATGAATATATTAAATAGAAAATCTGAGGAAGATTTCTTTTCCCCCTGAATGAACAGAAAAACATGGAAGAATTTATTCTGAAGTTTTGTTTGATTTTATACAATCAATATAGTCTGTCCAATTAATATGTTTTTCAAGGTTTCCGGAGTTAGTCCATTTTCTTTATTTTCTGGAAAGTTTGAATTTAGGACACAACCAAATATATTGTAAAATACACTAATGGAAATGTTATTTCCTGGTATAAAACTTAAGATCATCTATTTTAAGGATTTTGGCCTCTGATTCTAGTATATTTAGGTGTTCTGTTCATGTTTATTAATAGATTCAAAATGCTACCTGAAGTTCTCTATCATATCTCAACGCTTGAAACAATTCTGATTAGTAACAATCAGGTTGGATCTTTGGATGCTCTGAAAATGAAGATGATGGAAAATCTTAGCACATTGGACCTTCAGAATAATGACCTCCTGCAAATTCCACCAGAGCTTGGTAATTGTGTGAACTTAAGGTACACTGTTCTATTGAAGTTTTCCACTTATTCAATTTATTTGTTGAAGTGATTTGTTGTTGTTCAGATAATGTTTTAGGAAGTGAAGTAACAAATAATATCCTGTTAAAAATAATAATTAACAAAACTCAGAATTCCAATTCTGTTTTTGAAATTTATCAAATATTTTTCTTGTTTTTATATATATGTTTTCTTATATATGTATAAACATGCTATTTGTATCTAGTAGTATTTTTCTCATCTATTTCTTTGGGAGTTTTTTTTTGGGGGGGAGGGTACCAGAAATTAAACCTGGGGTGCCTAACCTCTGCCACATCCCCAACCCTTTGTATATTTTATTTTGAGACAGGGTCTGGCTAAGTTACTTAGAGCCTTGCTAAGTTGCAGAGGCTAACTTTGAACTCAGGATCCTCCAGCCTCAAAATTCTGAGATGCTGGGATTACAGGCATGCACTACCATGCCAGTTCTCATCTATTTCTTTTGAAAACTATCCATATTCTCCAAGCAGAATTACTCTCTATTCTGATTTATCTTTCTTTAGAAAAGAGATATTCCCAAACTTAGAACATATCACTGGTTACATGTATATAAAAAGAATTTGAGATGTTAATAAAAAGCCAATTAGTTAAGCAGAATATGTTAGAAATATTTTAATTAGTAAAAACTGCATGGTAATTGGTATATTTCACTTCACTGGGGCAGCACTGGCATCTGCTCTGGTACCTCATAATAGTAAGTTATAGAAGATGAGTATTGTTGATTCTCATTATTTGCTGTAGTCGTGTTCTATAAAGTTACTATGAACTGAATTAGTGAATATTGAACTATTGTTTCTAGGGGAAATACAGTGTAAGACTTTTGCAAAAGTCTGGTCATAATATTTTCATACATCCATCAGTACATAACCTTAGTTTGTGTGTGTTTCAGTGTATAAAGACATGTCATTATTGATTCATTAGCTTTGAATTCATGGCCCACAGCATTATACATTATGCCTGACTACAGCTTACTCCACAATTGTGTTTTCTCCGAAGGCACATTTGTGCTTAAAGAAAATCAGATAGCACTTCAGCACTATACTTGGGGGCCATTTTTAACAGTGGAATCACCAACAAAAAGTACAAAAATTTGAAAAATGTGGCACCAAATGGACCACAGAAATGACATTTGTTTACAGTATAAGAGCTGAAACAAGAAGGCAGAACTTCACCTTGTATGACTTTAATGGGGTCATACCAGTCTGGTGACTCAAATTTTCTCCTGCTCCATGAATAATCTTGGAAGTGTCACACATATTGATTTGGGGGTTAAAAACAAATTTTAATGAGTAGGCAGATTTGCAAATATGAAATCTGTGAGTAATGAGGTTCAACTATAATCAACTCCTTTTTCTATAAATTCAAATATATCTTTTAAAAAAACATAAATATTTGGAGATATAATTTAGATAAACTGTCTTGACTTTTATTTACATAAATTCTAAAGATATTACAAATTACATCTCTTCTAATTGAGGATATTTCATTAATTATGTAAAGAAACGGAAGAACAAGCCCTTAAATCTATATTGAGCCTTATTTCCACACATAAATGTATGCCTGCTCAAGGGTGGGAGAGGTCAGATATATGTTAATATTTTACAGGGCGAGGAGGACCTAATACATTGATTACATTATAGTCCTTGGCAAGGGTACTTGACAGTTTGCTCATTCTAATACTTGTCTAACTCTAATTCAGTCTCAAGTCTCTCTTGCCTCTGTATATTTGTGTTTCCTCATCTGTAAAATGAATGTTCATATCCTAAAAATATTGATTTTATATACAAGGAATGTATATTATCTTTTATATAATAGTTGTTCAACTTGTATTGTTTGGGTTATTATTTTAGTTGTAATTCCAACTATTTAAATGTTCAGTTTTGAAAAGGGACAAATATGAAAAATACACATTTTATTTATAGAATTGCAAATAAAAATTTATTTCCATTAAAACATCTCAATAATAGAAAATGTTGAAATTCTCAATCTCTCTCTTTTTTTTTAGAACTTTACTACTAGATGGAAATCCATTCCGTGTTCCTCGAGCCACTATATTAATGAAAGGAACAGCTGCTATATTGGAGTATTTGAGGGACCGGATTCCTACTTAAATGATCCCAGTCATCATGTTAAATCTTAGAAGAATATTACATTTTGTTTTAGTATCATCCTAAAGGTGATTGCTATAACTGATCTTCTAGTTTCTCAGTTATCACCCAGCCATTGGTATAATTGGCCTGGGCTATTATCACTGCCAATAAATATTTTCCATTGATAACTATTCAACATTTTTTCTAAAGTGTTGTGTACATTTATAACGATATTAACTACATACACTTATGGAGTGTTCATACATTTTGTCTGAATGTTTTCCACAGGATTTATCCTACATTTATCCCACATTCATTCCCTTAAAATTTGTAAGCACTTTCTTTGAAAGTGAATTTTTATGTAAGATGATTTAATATTTTTATAATAACAAAGCATTTTTGTAGAATTGGGTTTCTTTTTTCCTCATTTCTTTTTGTAATCCATACAATATAACCAGTTGACTTGAATATGAGTATTTAATTTCTACTTTTTTATTAGATGTAAAACCAAAATGAAATTTATTTAATACTTTTTTGTGAGTTAAAAAAAAAGACTTCATTACCTGTGATAGGACTTTTGTGATATGGTTGGTCAAGTTTTAAATTAACATTTACTGTCTTATTTTGGCTTTAAACTAGTTGGAATGTTTCTTTTCTAATGATTGAATAAGTCTTTTCCTCCTATTTTATGAAATCATTTTATCAGATTTGCTAATTTCTCAAAAATAACAAGACATGATTATTGGAGAAAATAATGAAAGCGTATTATAACTGCTTTCACGATTTTGACTTTAAAATTTGGCATTTTTAAAAGTGATGCCTTAGTATTGTTTTCGTATGATAATCTAGTACTTTTAGATTTAGGAGAATTAAAGATTGGATCTGTATATTTTCCCCCTGGGGAGTGTAAACATTTAATCACCTTTTGTCCCTTAAGGGGGGAAAAAATGAAGACCTTATTAATTCTATTGGTAGCAGCAACAGAAAACAACATATACCATATAGAAATCTTAAAGCTAATGTGATATAGTAGCACATGCCTGTAATCTCAGCTATGCAGGAGTCTGAGACAAGAGGATCACCAGTTCAAGGCCAGCCTCAGCAACGTAGTGAGACCCTGTCTCCAAAATGTAATAAAGGGCGCTGAGGATGTAGCTCAGTGCTTGTCTAGCATGTGTGAGGTCCTGGGATCAAGCCACAGTACCAGACATACACACACAAAAAAAAAGAAGGGCAGAAGGGAAGAAAAAAGGAATGAATCTTAAAATGAACTTTGTTTTAAACACTTATTCAGCAGGTATTTGAATACTTAATATACTTGGGTATGTTTTAGTCTGACTTGTGCATCTTTTTATTTTCAGCACTTTAATTTTAAAATTTACTTTGTCTTGATAAGATTAAATTTACAGTCATACAGTCATTTTCTAAAAGGGAATTTTATATAGATAAACTCAATTTAATAGAAATTAAATATAAACATTTTTGTTTACACCAAAATTATCAGAATTAAGTTGATCAGTCATTGTGACACCATATAATTCTATTAAGTATCCAATTCAATAGCATGTTTATCTATAGATATGTAGATAGGTAACTTTTAGATGATTGAGGCATGCTTACATAATGAAAAATCATTGCTAATAAAGATAAATACATGTTCATAATAAAAATTACATTTTTCAAATATTGATTACAGTGTTTGTTTTTGTTTCTTTTAAAACATGCCCTTTTCATGTCACAACTCTGTTGCTAAGAAGTCTGCTTTGATAGTAAACAAAAGACACTTTACAATAAGGTGACATTTTATTATTTATACAATAAAGAGACTTTTATGTTATTCAAAACACTTTTTTTAAATACTGAAAAAGTTGAGTACACCAAAGCCGAAAAATGGCTCTGCTATACACTGCACAGCATTATTTTAGTCCCTGTATTTTATATCTGTACAGAAAGCATCTTCAAAATGCATTCTAATCACATTGTACACCTTTACCAATTAGTGTCAATACATAAAATAAAACTGGAGAATACAGCTTGCATTTGCAAATTAACCTACAAAGTCATTTCACTGATTCAGTAAATTTAAAATATAGATTCATAGGACTTCTTTGCACGGAAAATGAAGCGGTTTTCAAGGTTGTTATGGTTTCATACTGCAAAAAAAAACCATTAAGTACATTCACAATCTATGTTAATAAAGTAGTAAATATGTTTTCATTCAGTTTTATTTACATCAATGTTGTTCAACTAAAAAGTACTGTTAATCATGATACAATAGTCCTTTTAACACATACAAAAATGACAATTTTTATATATAATTTTAAGCTCAAAATCACAATTATCTCAAAATATTAATTACAATACAGCCATTTCAATTAAACATGTCATGATTTGATTTTTTTTTATAAAATGTTAAAACTTTCTTTATTAAAGTAAGCAATTTGTTTGGAGTTGACTAGCATATACCCAAGTAGAAAATCTTAAATGTTAAGAGGTGTTTCCTGCCCCTCCCACCCGAATTTGTATACAGCCACCTAGGCTAGCAAAGAGACAGAAAAGGCCCCAATTTATAAAGATTAAGCCTCTTTTGCTATACTGCTGTGGCCTGTTGGTTCTTCCATAAAAGCTTTACAAGGGGAGTATCAGTAAATGATGCAGTGAAATGCATGCATTAATATACAGTATGTCTATGTAAAATGTCAGCATTTACTAATGCACATTAAAATGTTCACAGAGACTGCAAAAGAAGTCATAAATAAAGAAGCACTTTATCTACCAATTGCATATTGTAAACTTGAAAACTACTTGTTAACATAATGGAATTTCTTTGAAATCAGATCCCAATTCAAGTTCTTTCTCTGACTAAAGGAACTCTGGTTACTTGGCCTTAAGATGTCACTGTTGTGCTGCACATATGGTAGTGAAGTCAGATATTATAAAAGAATATGACTCTAGAGACTGTCTTCATTTTACTAAAATAATGACTCAAAGTTGCATCACTGCCTAAGAATTTTTCTTAAACTAACAAGAGAGTGAAATATTTCACTAACTGATTAATATGACCTCAGATGAAAAATTTGTGTTTGTATTTGGCACATATGAAAATATTAATTTATGTAAGTGAAATTAGAACTTTATAGAATAATAAAAGCATTATGCCCCAAAATAACAGAGGTCAAAAGTAAGTAATTATAGTTCAAAAAATAAAGAAAATTTTATACTTAACCTCAAAACAATATATAGAGTACCTTTTTTACTTATTAACAAATCATTTGAAAACTTACCACTGTTATCCTTTAGAATCACTTCTGTTAATTTAATATTTCTTCTCTGAATAGAATGAGACCATGGTTCATATTATGATTTACATATATCCAGCTCGGTGAGGGGTGCCCTTGGGTGGTGGTAAAATGGAAAAAATAACACTATATATGCAATAATCTACAGTAATCTTGCAGTAAACTTTTACAAGGTCATTTGTGATAGTCTTTGAGCAGAATTCTGTAGATTTACCTCTGATTTTCCATATTAAACTTGGGAAAAAATTCCTCCTCCTCATGTAGACAATGTTATCATCCCTAAGCTTCCTTTAGTCCCTTCTATACAATGTGTACAAAGAGAAACTTGATTGGTTCCTCAATCAAAATATATGTGGTTGATCTCTCAATTATCTTTCTCTTTATTCCAAACAAAATAATAAGGCTTTGCATTTTACAGGAGGAAAACTGTTAAAGAGAAATGCCTAATCATCATCGAGCAGAAGTATTAAAGATTTATTGCATTCCATTGACACTAGGTGTCATCAAAGCTAAAACTAAATTCTTAAGAGCAAAACAACATAAAACATTGTTTCTGACCTGAATCAGATGCCTTTCCCACATTCAAGACCAGTAAGAGTCCTCTTGGGTGGAAAGACCAGTATTGAAAATAACTTATTTCAATAAATAGTACATTCTGAAAATAAATTATAAATTAACTTTTCTAGCAAGTATGGGAACTGCTTTATATTCTTTCTGCCTGAGAGTTTCATCTTGGATTTCCTGACTAAATGAGAGATTCTTCAGTAGAGAGCTAGGACAGTGCAAGAGGGATAGAGAGATACAGGAAATAAAATGTGATTTTTTTTGTCCATTTGTCAAATGCTTTCCTTAATCCGGCTCTCTTAAAGGTCAACTGACCTGCATACTTAGGCATTATTTAACCTCATTACTTCAGCTGTGCAAAACAAATGAGCAAAGAAAAACCCTCCTATGTATACGTGTCTATACATAGACACAAAACCTGAGTCACAACAAGTTTTTATTATAAGAAAACTTTTCTTAATGTAGGAAAATAACCTATAAAGAGCCAAAAATAGCTTTGTACAATATATGCAGCTAACTTTAAAACTCACTGTGCTTAAGTATCGCATTTTATAAGACTCGGCAAAAGGGGATCATTTACATTGCTAATTTTCATAACTATAACTGAGATAACTACATTTTTTTATTTCTAACATATATTTTCATTCCCCTGAATTCATCAACTTTAGGAAAAAAAATCTATACACACATTTAAATAAATCTTACTCAATTTCTGACAAACTTCCTGATTTTTTCTAAATGTTGAGGACATAGGAGTTTGGGGTTACTAGTGCCAAGCAATGTTGAAATTCTAAAGTTTAAAACATAATCTATTAAGAGAAACATTACTAGCAAAAATATTTTATAGATGGAGTTGAGCCAAAGTCTGAATGAAGTTATTCTTCTTTTCAGGCTCCCGTTCTCTTCTCTATCTCCATCCTCCATTTCCTTAAGTTTCTTACCTTTTTCATACTTGAACACTGAATTATCCCAACTGAAGCTCCCTTGCTCACATGAAGCCACCAGTTACAGTGTCCTCTTTCTTATTTCTCTCTCCAGTACCTCAAGACTCTGGAATAATTTCTTGATCTCCCATCTGGTGCCATTTAACTAATCCTAGGAGAAAATGCTTAAATGTTGTCCCCACTGTCCTGTCATTTGATACTGATTCAAGGCTCAATTCAGGACATAACTTATTCCCTGTGCTATATGTCAGATGCATATTGAGGATATTCTTATAGAAAAATGAGTGAAACTTGCTTTTCCATGTTGACCCCAGTGGTTTGTCATTATTTATGCATTAATCACTGACACTTTTGGAGAAGAAAGCCATCGGAATAAAAAGGTTTAATCCTCACATCTGTGGTTCAATGGGAGATCTGAATACTTGTATCAGTAGTTGAAGGAATTCTGGGCAGTGCTTGTGTATGCTATCTTTTCTCCTGGGCCAGTGAGCCTGGTTTAGGGATAGGATGTGAAATGCACACAGGAGGGGAGGAGATTTTTGGCATTAGCAAGG